GAAGCCTCCATGTAGCTCTCCTCCGCTACACTTTCAACGCTAACCATAAAGTAACTGCTAAAAATTAATTCCTCTCCGTCGTAAAAACTTGTCGGTCCCACTCAGCCATACTGAGAAAATAATTTGTTGATTACTGACGAAACGCGCGAGTCTTCTAAATTATCACACGTTTTGAACTCAGTGGATCCTCAACAAACCGAACCGTGCTGCATTCTTCGGTGCAATCGGCAACGACAAATATGGTGATATGTTGAGATCCAAAACTAAAGAAGCCGGCGTCAGTGCTCAATACCAGGTCCGTAATTAGCGGAATAATGTTTTTTTTTCCTATTTTCTACTTATTCCTTGCTTTAGCTTTTCATGAATAATTGTTTAGATCAATGACTCTGTGAAGACCGGTACATGTGCGGCACTCATCCATAATCAGCATAGGTGAGGGGGGGGGGGCACTACCTTTCTTTGTGTACGGAAATTTTAAACTTCACTGGATATTTTAAGGTCGTTGTGTGCTCATTTGGCTGCTGCGAACACCTTCACTCTCGAGCACATGCTGAAACCAGAAAATGCAAAAATTATAGAGAATGCAAAGTACTTCTACATTGCTGTAAGTTTCATGCAAATATTTTGGACTTTTTGTTGTTGTGCTCGTAGCATTACCTCAGATAAGTGTATCTCCAGGGTTTCTTCCTCACCGTCTCTCCTCCATCTATCATGCACGTGGCTGAGCATTCCTTCAAGCATGACAAGGTATTAATGTGAATGTTTTATATGGTGTTACAAGGTGCCTCAAGTTCGTGCACAAGGTGTCATCAAATCCTTTTTTTTCTTCTCACCCATATTTCGTTCATATTTAGATCTTCATGTTAAATTTGGCTGCTCCCTTCATTTCTCAATTCTTCTTTGAGCCACTCAAGGCAGTCATGCCATATGTGGATGTTCTTTTTGGCAATGAAGACGAAGCGGCAGCCTTTGGAAAAGTGAGTCAATTCTCGTTTCCTTCCTAGTGAACTTGTGAACGTTGTGATCGTTTTCAGGCAGCAGGATTTGATACCACCGATTTGAAGGAGATCGCTTTGAAGACAGCGGCAATGGAGAAGGTGTGATTTTGACTACCACTCTCTAATAGAAACTCACGCGCGAAAACCTTTTCTTGGAAGGAGGCATCTAAATAATTCTTGTGCAAAAGTGGGTCCAAGCAGTGCCGCCTTAATAGTGGTTCACTGACCCCCGAATTCTTCTCCCTTCAAGTTTGGCAAAGGTCTCCACTCCCACTACGGGGGTCCATTTTCCCACAGGGAGATATTTAGAGTCATTGTGTTACGGGTAATGGGTGTTCAAACATGAAATAGCGCCGATAGGTGAATCCTCAGTGAAGAAAAGAAACAGAAGGAAACCACTAGTGCACCATAAATATTACCCCTCTAGCAACACTCACACAGCCTCGCTGTGCGAACAGCCGGCGGCCGACGATAATCTCAGTGAGAAAAGGATACACGAAGAAAGACTAGTTTATAAGAGACCCATTAAATATTAGCCTTGAACCTCATCGAAGCGTCGCTGGTGCGATTTTCTTCCGGCTCGTTGCAGTTCGAAACCTGCGGATATCGGTACACCGGTGGTTGAGCAGATTAGGTCTATTGGATTCCTGGTGACTTGATACGATGTTAATATTCGAATAAAAAGAAAACCTAGGAAAAAGACTGGGAATGGGTTCGTAACTCACTTGTAATGAAATTAGGAATACGAATGGCAGTCTACCGAACGAGATTTCGCAGCAACGACTTCGTCACCTGCACCGACTGAATTTCGTGTACATGCGCACTTGTTCACGCCGGGAAGCTCATTTCACTTATTTGGTGTTTTCTTTCTTCTTTTATTTTTTTTTCTGTTCCTTCGTTCCGTCTTTCATCTTTTCTTGTCTTTTACGGTCATGGAGGGAGAATACTCTCTAAATATGCATGAATGTACAAAAGAGTCACTTTTCTGTGGCAGCTTCAGGGTACACCATCGTTGTGTAAAACACCTGGGTCGCACTTTTCCGCTGGGTAGAGGGGGAGTCGTATTTGGTCGTTGGGACAGAGGGGGATGGTATGTGCGTTTGAAAGAAGAGCGTTTCTTTGAGAAAAAAATTTTCCCTGTCGTTTGACTTTTCGCGTGGTTTTTCCTGTTTCATGTAGTGTACATCCCTCCCTCGATAGCAAAGTTTTGGGAGAATTCTCGGAAAAGTGGTATTAAGTTGGGGATAATCTCAGAGCTCGACGGAATAACTTTAAGCGAAAAACTGGACTGGAAAATGTGGGAAATTCGTAGGTAGTGTTGGGGAAATGGAGGTCGTACCGAGCCTACATTTAGGTTGGGGAAGTGGGGGGGGGGGGGTCGTACAAAAAAAATCGAGACATTTGAAGACCGTTCCCGCGATCAAGTGATCCACGCAACGCCTCCGTGAGTTAGGCATTCGGATCCGCACTCGCACTGAGTGTACCACGTCCGTCACTCAAGAGAGCGAGATAAAGCCGCCCAGGGTACAGTCGTGATGTGTGAAATGGTAGTATGGGTACGATCCATCCCCCTAGAAGAGAAGGGTCATTCAAACCCCAAGAAAAACTGATCTTAGGAGGTTTCATGATTTTGAGGAAGGTTGCTAGCGCGTTTTCTTATTTTATTGTCTCTGCTTGCGAGTGGATTGCGCAGATTCAAATTCACTTGGGGAGAAAGCAGCAATATGGCTAGTGTGAACTTTACATGCAATTATGTACCACTGAAGTAGCTATCTCTTTTATATGATTGCATTGCATGTCTACTTACTCACAACACAGTTTTCGTTTTGAAGAAATCATCGAAGCCTCGAACGGTGATCTTCACCCAAGGTGCCGACCCAGTAATTGTGGCCATTGGTTCAACTGGACCTTGTTATCCTGTTACCAACCTGTTCCTATAAGAAAAACATTGTCCGACCACAAACGGAGCTGGTGACGCCTGTTGCTGGAGAGGTCGCGGAATTTCACTTCTTTTTTCAATTACTCAAAATCTTATTTTTTTCTTAAATTTTCTCTTGCGAATCCATATTCGCTGTTTCAGGTTTTCTCGCCCAATATATCCAGAACAAAAGCATTGAGGAAGCCGTGAATTGTGGCAATTACGCAGCTGGTGAGATTATCCAAAAGCACGGATGCACTGTGCCGTCCGTCTGCAAGTATCACTAACGGTTTGAACCGCTTCTGTGATGAGAATGATCGTTTCTCTAGAGCTCATTTCTTCGTTTTCGCTGAATGGAATGGTTATTGAAGACATATGTTCTTCTTTTATACGTTTGCCATTAGAGCACTATATTAGTTCTGTTGTGGTAGAAAGGGATGATTTTATTTGTGTTCTCTTTGGTCTGCTGAGTTAGCGTTTTACCCTAGTTTGTGAATTATATTTCACTACTAAATTGCCTCACTAATAAGTATTATTCCTCTTGTGACACTGTTACGGCTGGTAAGCTGCCAAATAATTTTATGAGAGGTTTAAGAGATGGTTTGGTGTATTCTCGAAGCTCAGTGGAAATTTAGCCTTAATAACGTGATAACAACTCAGATATATATTGTTGTTTCGACTTTTGTGGGATCGAAGTTGAGAACATTGTTGACTTTCTACGTTTGTTTAGTAATTAAATGTTTCGCTAACGTTCTTCCCAAAATAAAGGGATGTCTTGTTGAATTATTACGACGCTCTGTTCCACACAGTTGATATTGAGGATTACTGATGGAGGATATCATGTTATATCGCATTTAGTAAGTTGGCGAATTTGAGGTCATGTCTGAAATGCCTTCAGAGGTGTTAAGTAAGACCGCGTTCAGACTTCGCGATCGAATCTCTCAAGCGATCTCATCGCGAAGTCTGAAAGCTGTTTAAGACAGCTTTGCGGCTACTGGACGGGGTTGGTGTGTTCATACTTCGCATCTTACTTTGCGACACTAGATAGTGGGAGAACACTTGCCATATGAAAGTGTGAGTTTGGACTGGCGAAGTGAGAAAGAATAAGAATCGGGACTGTCAATCTGTTGATTCTTCTGTGTTAATGATTGCCTAACATTCGCGATCAATGCTTATACCTTCTTTGGGATGATTGCGCGATCCGAGCGATCAGCCACGAAGTACGAACGTTCTCTGAGCAAGTGTTGTGGATGTGGCAAGTTGCTTGTCTCTGATCCTTATCGGAGAAAAATGGCCATTCAGTTTGCTAGAGGTTCACGTGTACCAACTATTATCTTTTTCTAACGATAGTAGCCATCAGCCATGGTGAGAAAACGTGTGCTCTGGATTAGTCGCAGCAGCGTCCCACCTACAGGCATGCATTGAGTGGGGCTGTTGCTTGCACTTTTCGTGGTTCTTCCAGGACGCACAACAGCAGGTAGTTGTATGGG